TTTTTTTTTTCATTTTGCTCAGTATGAAATCAGTGTTTTTCAGGTCGCTTTCTGCGTAAGCAAGTCAGTTAAGGATATGGTGATTTTTTAATCTGTTAGCAACTTTTGTTATCTATAAATTAATACGTATTGGGTTTTGTAGTAATTTATTCAAAAAAATAAGCAGGACGGCGATTTTAAGGAGTAAAATACTTCGAAATATATGTACATTCTTGGTAATTTGTAAGGAGATAACGTTGAAGAAATTGGCAAAGAAGAGAAAAAGGTGTTTCCCACCAGTAGTCTAATCATAATTCCATTACCGACTTCAAGTAAACTGTGAATCCGACCACATTTCGTTAATTATTTGTGATTGTAGGGTATTGACATAAATCATAAGAATGATCGAAAAGTCCGGCGTAAGGCGCCGAAGAGTGAGGATCCGTACCTCCGAGTTTTGGTAAAGGTACGTGCTTTATCATGCTTTTACTGAGTTTTCGGGCGGTTATTTTTATATCATTAAGTTGCAACAAACCCTATTTACTTGTGAATGTAGAATACTTGCATCTTAGTTCCTTTTACATAGAAGTTGACTCAAATTTGATGAAATAGAACCCAACATCAGCAACCTGCAGATTAAATCGACAACAGTCTTATGTCGCTTTTGAGTAGGTGAAGTTATAGTTAAAAAGCTGCGGAGGATCAATGGCCGTTTACGTAACTTGCAATGTTTCAGCTATATAAGTATTTGGCTCGCCGAACCAGCAAAAAATTCAATAAAATCATAACTAAAAGGTTAATGATGTCACGTCGTCATCGCCCGCCGATGTCACTTGCACGTCTAATACGAAATATGAAGCGCGGTGATAATATGAAAAAAATAGCAGTTATAGTGGGGACGGTTACGGACGATCATCGCATATTTGACGTTCCAAAATTAACGGTTCATTCATGTTGCTTTATAATATTTGAAGTCTTCTTAGATTTCTCGTTATCAGTATGTGTTGCTTAAAGCAACAGATTTAAGTCTTGATAGATTACGTCGATTTAATCTGCAGGTTGCGGCATTGCATGTGACGAAAGGAGCGAAATCTCGTCTTCTTAAAGCAGGTGGTGAAATTCTAACATTAGATCAACTTGCTTTACGGTCACCATGCGGTGAGAATACCATCTTTTTACAAGGTCCTCGGAAGCATCGTTCAGCAGAGAAGCATTTCGGATCTGCTCCAGGTGTACCTCATAGCCATACAAGGCCGTTGGTGCGCTCTAAAGGCCGTAAATTTGAACGTGTATGTTTTTAAGAACCTTGATAATTGTAGAAAGTAAGTTAACAAATTGTGTTTTTCTTTTTGAAAAGAGTTTGTTGACCTTATTGATACTGATCTTGTACTCTTTGTTAAGCAACACTGTTGTTATTACTTTATTTCAGGCTCGAGGTCGTAGAAAGTCACGTGGTTATAGAAATTAAATTGTATCGTTGATGTCAGTTACAGTGTTTCTTACTTGATAAAGCATTATCTGTTGCATTGTTCTAGAAATATTTGAATTCATGGTTTGTATTTCAAATTAAAAGAAGAAGAAAATTGTGCATACAATTAGAAAGTTTTTGATTTTACAAACTTCGGGTGTCTCGTTAAACATTGTTAATCAGTTTTTACAGATGATCATAGTGAAATCGTTGGATGATTAGCATATTCTTGTTAGTGATAAGTTATACTGTCTCCGTTTGAAGTATTGCAGTGTCTTTGCTTTTCTTAAACCACCCAGCTGAGATCTGTAACTGCCATATCTTTTAATCTATGACTGTTATTACATAAAACTTGCTTATCTTTCAAATCCATAATATGGAAGAAAGAGTTTCTGGTGGTCTCTTTAGTTATTTGTGGAGTGCGTGTAATTTCAAGAACAGTTACTAGAACATTTTGCATCAATAAGTGATCACTTTGGACGAACGATTGGTGCTAAAAATCTGTAGTATGGACGGAGTTATGGAGTTTCTGATTTGTTGCAGGTGCTATGGGCTGTGATAGATTCTGTGGTTTTTACTTGTCATAGGTGTTGGGAAGGAGTGAGCTGACAGTGGTTGTAGGTCTGGGAAGTGTGCGTTTTTATCTTGCAGTTTCAACCATTATTGACGTTTAGGAAGCATGTGACGGTTTGGAGGGGGCGGCGTGTTTTAGAGACTTGAAGTTCGATCCGTGGCATGTAAAAGTATCCTTCTACTTGTCAAGTCTTACTTTAGCATTGAAAGAAGTAGATCGTTAAACAGTGCTAGGTGCGTTGTGCATACATTACAGTGAAGGTGTCGTTTCACTACTGCTAGTCATTCGGAATCTTGAAAGATCCGGGTTTCGGAAGGATGACGGATGTTTCTTTTTTTTGGCCTTCTCTCTATGAATTTGTGGAAATAAGCATTGTTGATTAGTATTGAATTTGTATTCAACAGATTGTTATGTTTTTCTGCAAAATTTAGACGAGGAAGTGAGCACATTCAGCTGGAGTGTAGTCATTAATAGTGTTCACTGAGGTTAATCTCATGTCACTATAAACTTTTGGTGTGCAATTTAATTTTAGAATATTCACTACATCACAAGTGGATTGTTAGTCATTAGATCGCCCAACTTCTGCAAATTTTAAGAATAAAGAAGTGTAACAGACTCAAATAAGATGTAAGATTTTTAGTACCTGGGAGCATGGAACTGTCCTTTACAATTTTAGCGCTGGGTGGAAGGAAGTGCATCTCGTAAAACTGAAGAAATAGGAGATGGGAAAGGAACTATTGGTCCGAATATTTGGAATCTGCAGATTAATGTTCAGATATTTGAAGAAAGTCTCGATATGAGGCTGAAAATACAGAAAAATAAGTACATGCTTTCACAATTCACTTTGTATGCAGTCTTTCAATTGTACCCTTTTGTATGGCCGTGATCTTCGAAGTTACTGTTATTGCAGTTATCAAAGGAAGATGTCATCAAGAATATTTTTGCTAGAGTCATTTCGAAACGTAGAGGCCTATCGTGATGTGATCATTTTCAACAGTAACGATCATCGTCGTCGTCAACATCGCCATCGTGTATGATGATGATGGACTCACTGCAATAAATGTACTCGTTCTCATACTCTGACAAATTAATGGGCAACTTTTTCGGGGGAGATTGTGTCGTTGTTGTAATTCTTGTCATTGCCCCTGTCGTCGTTGTAATTGCTATCGTCTTAGTTTCCGTACATGCTGCTGAAGTCAATATCGGTTGTGAACTGTAAATTAGTATTATTACACGTAGCTGATGATTATTATCAATCTCATCCTATTGTCGCTGGACATACTAATTGTAAACATTATGTATAGTAAATATCCCGAGACATGTGCTTATCGATTGGCTTACGCTGAGACTGACTGGATTTCTGTGCATCGTCGCTTAAATGCACCTGATACAATACATCTCACGAAGTGCTTGTCACCTCTATTAACATGTTCAGTTATTCCCGATTCATCTAGTATTCCAAATTCGAATTCGGCATCATTCTCAAGACAGCAATGCTCATGTCAGTGTAAAGCGGATTCTGCTACATTCTTGCCTTCAATTCGAAGCTGTATTGATAAACTCGGTTAAAATTTTTAATTTTGATTCTGTCATTCCAAGGTTTCCCAAATTTGATGATGTCTTGTGAGAAATGGAAAAATGAACTATCTGTTTAGTGTATGACAAATATTGTATGCGTGATAAATCAAAATGTTCCAGCATTTCTCTAATTTTCTGGCGAATGAAAGAAAAACTCATGTAATAACTTTTGTTTTGAATTTCAAGAAACAGAGTACGGAGTACTTAAATTTTTTTTAGATAAACCGGAAACATATCCCTTTTCTAAATTTAATTCCAGATATTACTGTTGAGAATATTTCTGATTAAGAAATGAATAAATAAATGGAGTACGCAATATTATTGGTCTATCCGCCCAACGTAGAGTAATTTTTGTTTCTCTTCACATTTACATTGAAATTTCCTTTTGCTGAGACAAACCACGCTTAAAATCTTTCTCTGACCTAAATCGATGTTCTGTCATACATTCATTAGATAATTATCTTACATTTTGAAGGTATTTTTAATGTTGAAAATTTTCTCTCGAAACGGCAAAAGGTCTTCGTTAATCGTTCTGTAATATATATATATTTCATTTATTCCTTAATTTTGGACGCAATAAATTTTATGAAATCCTTGAATAAGGTTTTTTGATCGAAATTTGTTGAACCTGAATTCATGGAAGTCTACTTAATATGATAATTTTAATAAAATTGATTTCTTGTCAGTTGATAAGTTGCAAACCGATCTTTACCACACTTTTTGCCTAGCAACCATCATATTACTTAGATTATTATCTTACACTTTTTTACTCATTATTTGACGCGCTGCCAATTTTTGATACAAAAATGTTGAATGCCCTTCCAACAACATCTTCGTATCTGACATTGAAAATCCAGATCTGTCGCATCTTTTTGATTGGGTCAGTTTCTTCATTTTCCATCCCTAAACGAGCAGATGAAAATTATTATTGACACGGATATGTACAGGAGGCAGCTGTTAAATGATATCCATCAGTCGTTGAATCTATCAAAATTCAAAAATCATATCCATGTTTAGTTCAAATGATGAAAGAGTGAGATTAAGTTTTCTGCATGTGAAAAATGAATTTTCAACATTACGATAAGTTATGATTTTTGCGGATCTAAATGTGGGATTTTTGACAACGTTCACACTAGTGAAAGCATCAGAAATTTTTTTCTCTTCCTTTCCTCAACAATCTTTACAATTATGACTATAACAAAAAACTCTTCAAATGTCTGAATCATAAGAACTAACTATGATATCAAAATGCAATTTTTGTGTTCGCTAGACTGTATGGCTGAATTCTTGTATTCAATTATTTATCCTGACCAAGTTGCGAAACGAATACTTTCCTTTCAGATAGCACTTGATTTGAATAGTTTAGAGACTTGATTTGAATAGTTAAAATATTTTGATTGCCAAACTGTTTAATAAAAGGAATTTATCAGAAATTAATTAATACCGATCTAAAAAACGCACACAGCAAATTAATATTAAAATGGAGAAGAGCTTAAAGTAAGTTTGATATTGTTTAAAGAGATTGGTTAATTAAATTAATGTAACTTTTTTTGTAATTTTAGATGAATGCCAACACCAATTACCATTCCAATATAACAATCGAAATATGCAGTGGTTGCCAGCTTTCAGCATACCTGCAACAAACAGCATTTTTGCACCTTCACATGAAATTGTTTGGAATGGTTATGTTGATTACTATTTATTTATTTGTTCATTTATTATCATTATTATCGCTGAATAAAATCATGATATTTGTCACTCATCGTTTTAGGATTTTTCTCGCTTGGTTTTCCTTACAGTTATGGTTTTCGTAATTAAATTGTTTTTCACATTTATGAAAATGCAGTAATATTTAAGAAATAGCAATATTTGATACCATTTTATTTTGATTAAAACATATTGCAGACGTAGTTACAAAATCTAAGAAAATCAAAGATGGCATGTCGTGCTCTGTAAATAATGTTTTTGTACAAACGGACGATCTCTGGATAATATATAATGAAACTAAATTATTTGAATTGAAAATCTACAATCACACGTACTATCTTCAAGTATCTGCTTAGTTATTTTGTTAAAATCAGTTTAGAAAAAATTTTCAGTTGTTGCTGACCAGCATATGTAAAGCATATTGTTATTCTTAAATATATCCATTTTTTCTTGTAATTATGATGTTCGCAAAAATGCTTTTATTATTTTATACATTGGAAAGAACAGTCAAGCAATCTGGTATCAACGAGATAGTCAACATCAAATGATATCTTTATTTTCTAGATTATTTTTAAAAAAAGTTGGAGCTTTGTTGCAGTAATGATTAATCATTTTTATAGTTATCTGCTTTTAATATTTCTGGATATTCTTTTCACGAGGAATGCATCTGAAGCTAACTTTGAGTTTGGAATCATCAGTTGTTTAATTACCTAAGTTTGCAAGCTGTAACTGTGCTGTTTTAACAGTTAATATACATTTGATCTAAAGAATATGGACTAAGATAATTATTCTTTTTCATTACTGTTAGTAAATTTTTGTTTTATCAGTGGAAGGGAAGCGAATCTGATGCGAAACGATTAGAAGGCAGTCTTGTACAGTTGAAAATATCCTGCAACAATGCTATTACTGATTTTTATTGCATTGCATTTCGGATTGCCGGTGTACATGGTGAAGTTTTGTTTTCGTGAGCATGGGAAAGTATAAATTTCCGAAATAAGAGAGTGATTCATATTCCGCATAACAAATGGGAACATTTTTAAATGCAACTTATTCAAAGACAAAATATTTTCAAAAAAATGTGCACAAAAAGAGCATCAACTTAAGCAGTGCTTGATTAAAGAAGATGAAGAATCAATTTCACGAAAAAAACAAAATTTTCAGTGAATGTCAATTTGGCTTATCGACTGAGTGATATGCACTGGAATCGAATTGAACTCATTATTTGCTTGCTGCTCACTGCACTTCTTTTCATCACGTCATTTGGTGGTGCAGCTCTATGGAAGGTGTGTTGGAAAAATAAGAAAAGCAAACTCATTTCAACTATGCAAATGCAATTCCTCTACCATATGAAGCAACAGCAAGTAATTTTCTAGCTTTGTTCCTTTTTTATGCTGAATTGGTAGTGGTCATAAGTAGCATTTCATTATTTATTCCACATTGACAATCGAGTTTTGTGATCAGTGAGTCGAGTTTGTAAAGTTATGAAAGAGGAAGTTGAACTATGGTACTACATGGAAGAATTTTTAAGTGACTTTTTTAAACCTTGCATTTTTTGGTTTTGACACTAAAAATTTTTTTTATTAGACAAATTAAATTTGTTTGTTTGAATGTTATATTATACAACCGAATATCGGTTCAATAATCTTCTAGCCTATAACTTTAAAAGGTCAGAACCATGTAACTTTGCAGTTAAGCACTATATTTTTTTGATAATTTCAATTTTGTACTGCTTATGATTTTCAGAAACAAATATTCTTGGTTGATTTTAAATATGACTTAAATATCATTTGCAGGTTCATATGCAAGAACAAATAGCTTCGATAAAAGCAAATATTGACCGGCAGCCATCACTGGACAGTAAAGATGATCAGTGTACTTCAACTGCTGGAATACAGAAAAAAAAACTCTATTTCAGTGCAGGTAATTAATTTAGAGTCATCCAGAAATTAATTTTATCCGAAAAGTTTTTAATATTTGTTCTGCTCAAAAATTATATTTTGGTCTCTCAAATACATATCAGATAATTCACAAATTCATACAGAGCACATATGACCATTTTTTGATCTGTTTGCTGCAAATTGTGATTTTCTGTTTCCTGTTTCATAAATACTTTGTTAATTTGCTATCATCGATATAATAAAATCTTCTCTCTTAAATATTATCTGTAGTTTCACGGCAAAACTTCATTGTGAATCAGATAAAGTAGGCATTTTTCACCGCTACTCTCTTAAATTGATGTACCCCATCTTCTAGATAATATTTATTTTAGATTTTTTCGAGCCAGAGTTAATGGCTAATCCCCCCGTGTTAGCCGTGCAATTTATTTACGAGTTGCGGAAAATGATTGATGTAGCCAAAGATCGAATTCGAATGAAACGACATGTTCCAACGCTGAAAACAATTTCAGAAGATAACGAAGTCGATGAATACTTTGAATTCCCTCGTATTGAAAGTGAAACAAACAAGTGCAGTGATGAACCTTCACCAAAATCTCTAAATTCTCCGGATTCTGGTTGTGACTCTCTGAGTGACGATGACATTCAAAATCATCAAATGCTAGCTCAAGGTCATGAAGAAGAACAGTTTGAGGAGTCAAAACCAATTGAAGGTGCAGAAGAAAGGTGGAACGAAATGCGAATAGAAAGAGTAGAAAAAGTGGACGGCAATAAGGAACCAAATTTTGGTCACCAACACGTCTACCAGCCATCATTACTTCCGACTAGAATTCCAATTGATGGCACATTATTGCCTAGGTCGGTTACAAAAACTGCTCACGTTTCCCGTATCCCTACAATAGTCTCTCCTCGAATGGTCAACTTGATGTCACCAGCATCTCGACCCCTTCCAAAACTTGTTTCAATAGCTAGAGTTAAAAGAACTCATTCTAATCGTAATAATGGTACACATACAATGATAGAAAATGCCGGTTCAGCAGCACTCTCAAAATTGCCTTATTTAACATTAAAGAAACGTGAACCACCAAATTTGGAACGTATTATAAATAATGTTCCGCCTCCTCTACCTGAAATTACACCTCCCAATACTTCTTCCTTAACTCCTTGTCGACCAAGATTTTATGCTGCGAGACGACGAGCTTATACTGTATTTCCAAACAATGATTTAATGCTTAAAAAATCATTATCACGGAGATTGAAACAACAACAACGTTGTACAGCTACAAATGCAGTTGCTGTGCAGACATCGTTATCATCACAATCGCCAACTAACCCAAAATCGTGATTGGCTTCTGTACCATCAATAACATGAACTTTTTGTTGTTTTAGGAATAGAAATCGGGTTTTCATTTCTCTTCGTTCCTGATCAAAAGTTCTTGCATTAAATTTAATCTATCAGCTTCTTGATACATTCCTTTAGGGCATTTTATCCCTCTTTATTTTAAAGATGAAATAAATGAAGCACACTTATGAAATTACAATATTGAGCATTGTACGAACGTCGTAAAACACATTAAAATTATTTTTGATTCATTTTATTCCTCAGCTATTTCATTCATACATTCGAAACTAAAGTTTTCAGCAATTTCATGAAATATCATGGGATTTATTTGAAAATTTCTAAAGTTCAGTCTTTTCACTGCAGTGATTTGTGTTAAATTTGGCTCTATACTAATTTTAGGTAGGGATTTAAGCTTCAATTTACGATTGGAATATTCGATATATCATGAAGGAGTCTTATTTAACTGCGTACAGAATATATTCTTCCTTAACTTATTAATACTTAATTATTGTTAGTTTTGTCCATTTATTCATCATTTTTAATAATCAAATTTCATACCATTACTTCGTTTAAGACGACTTGCATTTTTTAAGTTATATTAAATAGTAAGGTCTGTGCAAACAAATTCACAAGGGCTGTGTAGCTCTTTCTATATCTGAAAATGAATGCTAGTGTAGTAAAATGCAAGTGATTTAAGCAGCGGATGGATATTACGAATTTTCTATTTTATAGAAACATAAAATACCTAGAAAGGTATATTTTGTTGATTTACTCAAAAATAAAGGGCAGAAAAGTGTTTTGTGTTATTCCCAATGATGAACCATAAAAACTTGCGAAGAATTTGGAAAATAAGTTCTTTCAGAAAAACTACAGCAAAAATAACAGCTTCTTCCAGAAAAAAAGTTATTGTTAAGTTTATAAATTGTTTACGTATTTATAACAAAATGTCTTTATTTTTGACACATTTGCTTACTGCTTAATGGTAAACGGAATGAACAGCTTGTTTTAGAAAATGTCATGACATTCACATATATTAGTACTGACCTTTTCATACATTTCTGTCATAAGAATATCAATGTATCCTTTACAAAGGAAAAATAGACGAATGAATATTTGTTGGAGAAAACTATGATAATTAACGAGAGAATGCAAAAATTCTGCTCATACAAAAATCACATCCACGTGCTAGACTTTTTCAGCGCAAGATGAAGGTGAAACAGCGATTTTAGTGATCGTCAGGTGAGCAGCGATATTTTTGCTAAATTTAATGAAGAATTATGAGAGGCTAGCGAAATACTCTTACTGATTCTTTATTTATTGAATTCTTCAATAAATTCATCTTTTAATATCTATATAGTGGGCGTGGATTATTGTTTTAATTTATCACTGATACTTTTTATCGAAGAATAATGCAACAATAACAAATTGTGCAGCTGATTGAGTACTAGCTGAAGTGTTTTCCAATGTTTTATTTCAAAACGCAATTCGAAACTTTACCCTCATAGTTTTTATGCATGCATGGCTTCAATCTCTTATAATAGTATTAGGTGTAAAATGAGATAAAAATGTCATGCAAAAATAACATTATAATAAATGGTATAACAAAGAGTATACAGAAACAGCATGTAATACAGTAAATAACTCTCAATGAATTAGATGGTATAGGCGATAGTGAGTGCCATGAAGGAACAGATGCATTTTTAGAACGATATTAGGTGAGAAAGCTTTAATAAAAAGTTCATAAAACCAGAAAAACAAGTTAAATTAGATAAGCCTATAGCACTTACAAAGTATATCTTTGCATCTGTAAATAGGTTAGAAAAAATATATACGAGCTGCTCTAGCAGCTTTGGTTGCTAAGAGCGACTATTATTATTTCAAAGCTTGTTGGCTTTCTAGGTTCGTATACGATATTGCTTAAGAAAACGCTCGTATACGTCCTCAGGTGATTACCAAAGAATGGCAGAAAGTGTCCGGGTAATATGTCGCTGTCGCCCATTAAATTGTCGCGAAATAACGTTTAATTCGCAGGTAATCCAACTTCCTAATCTTATCGGCTATTCTTTTAACCTTTTTTAATGATAACGTGTCTTAATTATGAGAATATGTATAAAATTGGTCTTAAAAAATGCGGATTGAGAAAGCACAAAAAATATCATTAATTTATTCTTACATTAATTATTAAGCCCAACAATTTTAGCATCATTCGTCCCTATTATGTTGTTTTTTTTGTTATTGGTAAAAATTAGAAAAATGGTCAGATAATTTCTCCCCAGATGTTATTTAAGTCACAATATCTGAAAGTGCTATTATGACCAGAAATAGGTATAAGTTCTCAAAAGAGTTGTTTAATTTTTTTCTGCCTACACCGACAGAAGTGTCAATGCTTCACTTAGTATGAATGGGAAAAGTGAGTGTATTTTAAAAAAAAGTAAAAACAAATTGGGCGACAATTATTTTTCAGTTTTTTAGACTGATTTCAACATCTTATTCCTTTCTTTTGCTTCGGTACTATTTTTATATTTTGAACTAAATCCTCACAGATTTTCAAACTAGCATTAGTCATTTTGCTTGATGACAATGAAAGCTACAAAAAAGTGCCCCATAATGAAATAACATTAAAAATTGCTCTTACAGATGTGTCTGGATCAAATTTTTCTTTCCTCATATTTTGTGTTATTTAGAAAAAATTTAATACATATACCTTAACGAAGTAATGAATATGTGAATATTGTCAGATGCGTCTAGTCTCTTCGATACGAGATTGGGTTGGTTTTACATGCTAAACAAATGATGCTGTGAAATTTAGATATGTGTTCAAATGGATCAAAGATGTGGACAAGTGATTTTACAATGTGAAAATTGTTGTCCGAAACACTTTACATTTGATGGCGTCTACTACATGGATGCTACTACTGAACAAATATACAATGAAATTGTTTATCCGCTAGTCGAAGTTAACCCTGATATGAATTTTTACCTCAATGAGCAATTTTTTTAATTTTAATTTTAAATATCAAATAGAAATCAACTTGCGGTGATCAAATTATTAAAAAAAAGACTACATAGAAATAATAGCAAATATTGGTTATGAGAAAAATTTTTCTCTACCCTTGTGCCTACTTAAAAAACTCTTTGTAACAGAATCATTATACAAGTGTTGAACATTGAGAAGAAACGGATATCAGAAGTAGAATGTAAAGTTATCAAATTGATGAAAACGATGAAAATAGATCAATACTGAAGTTTTCTAAGTTCAGACATATCGTATTATCTGAGATAATTTTTGATAAAGTTGTAATCGGCATTCATTCTGTATAGAGGCATATTCAACGTTGAGTAGAGCGAATTTACAGTGCTGTTGTAAATTATGATTCAAATATATGATTGACACTTTCTTTTTCATATTTCATTATTCCACCACAATGGGTTATTTTCATTTACTTTAATCGCTGTAAATTATATCATATCACCTTAAGTTGAAATTATTTTACTTATGCTTGTAGACTTGTTCTTCTAAATTTAGATTTTCGCAGCATTTTGTGTTGCCTTCTAGTGGCAGTTACATTATTCACACTTTTTAGTTAAATTGTTCTTGGCACTTTGGATTGGTGTAATTTGATAGAAGTAAATTAATACATGAAATCAGCGAAATTCTGTAAAAAATAACTCAAGCGACTTAGTTTATTTACAGAGTGTAATTCAAGGATACAATGGAACAATTTTCGCATATGGACAGACAGGTTCTGGAAAAACATACTCAATGCAAGGTGATGATAATATTACTTCTCAAAAAGGTATTATACCTCGGGCGTTCCAGCATATCTTTGAAGCCACAGCAACTACTGATGATGCCAAATTTTTAGTGCATGTATCATACTTGGAGGTTTAATTTTAAACTTATAGTACTGTATATTTTCGACCATCCCTATATCAATGAAATGAAAAATTACAATTAGTGATTTTTACCACCAGCTTTCACCAAATATGTTCCCAACTGTTCTTTATATTATACATAATGGAAATATATATAAGCAAAGCAAAAACCAGTAGTTTTTCAAAAATCGGAATGAAATATTAGTGGCGGAATTTGAAAAGATTCCATAATTTTAGAAATATTTCCTTAAACTTAATTTGGAATTAGAATTTCTGAAATTTCTCTTAGAAATGGACAAAACTACCTTCTATATTAATTTTTTGAATTATTTTAAAACACGTAATATATAGATTTACAATGAGGAAGTAAGAGATTTACTGAATATGAACCGTACGAAAAAACTGGAAATCAAAGAGCATACGGAACGTGGAATTTACGTTGCTGGATTATCCATGCATGTTTGTCACGATTACAAAGCTTGTCAAAAGCTAATGAAAGAAGGTTTCGAGAATCGCCATGTTGGTGCAACGTTGATGAACAAAGACTCTTCGCGATCACATTCCATCTTCACCGTTTATGTGGAAGCAGCTTTGGGAAACGGATCTTTTCGCAAGGGAAAACTGAATTTGGTAGATTTGGCTGGTAGTGAACGACAAGCAAAAACTGGTGCTTTTCATTTGTTTGTTTGCAGTTTCATACTGATACATGGGACTATAATTTTTAGTCATATTCAGTTGTTGGGCACAAAAATTTCACTAAAATTTTAATGACAGTTTTAAGTTCTCGCGAATGTTGCGAAAATTCTAATCTGATTTCACGTGAGCATGCAGTTATCTTACAGGAGCTACTGGTGATCGATTCAAAGAGGCAACCAAAATAAATCTTTCTTTATCCGCTTTGGGTAATGTAATATCAGCTTTGGTTGATGGTAAATCCAGGCACATTCCTTACAGAGATTCGAAATTAACTCGTTTGCTACAAGTAAATCTATAAGATGTCTCAAACTGGTCCACCCTTTTTTCATGTTTTAGGATATCGTTATTTTAACTTTTTACTGTCCTTAGGATATTGCTTTGGTACATAAGCAAATCATGTATTTCATATCGATAGGCAGTCGAGTGTCGTTTAAAAAGGGAGTTGCTCAGCCTGTTAACTACTTATATGAGCGACTAGAGCGATTTTATTTTCTTGAACAAGAAATTAAGCCTTTTCAATCTTTCACTTTAGGATTCACTAGGTGGAAACATGAAAACAATAATGCTTGCTTGTATTTCACCATCTATTGACAATTATGATGAAACTCTTTCCACTCTAAGGTCAGTTTCATACTGTTGCATAAAACAGTATACGTGTATTTAGCCCGCTGTTTTTTTGTCTTTTTCTTTAATTTATTGATTTAAAAAGTATTCGTCAATCTTTCGTTTTTAGGTATGCAAATCGTGCGAAAAGCATTAAGAATAAACCAAAGATCAACGAGGATCCAAAGGATGCTTTACTTCGCGAGTATCAAGAAGAAATTGAACGATTGAAAGCTATGATACTATCCAGTAATAAGCCAGTTATGGCAAATAATATTTGTTTGCTTGTAGACTCATATTAGTTCCACAAAATATTGTGAATGATCTTCAATGCATTTACATTTAAATTGAGTATTTAAAGCATGAAAATGGTTTAGTAATATAAAGTAGTTGGTAAATTCATATGAAATATTGTAGAAATAGATAAAATATAGAATATGGAAAATTTAGAAAAAAAATTTATTGGAATATTAGTGATAGAAAGAGAGGGGAATGAAAATAGTCGTATGAAAATGACAAGGAAAAACCACTTATTTCAGAATTTTGTTAACACTCTCAATCGTTTATGTTCATCTATCTGAGACATAAAATATTTAGAAGTTTCAGGTTATTAAACTCATTATCTTCTTGCAGATGATAGTGTACGCCCGAATTCCAAGGATTTAGCTGAAGAACATGAACGACTGAAAACAGAATTCGATGCAGCAATTAATGAACTGCGATCCCAGTATCAAAATGAGCAAAAAAACAAAGTCAAGTTGCAAGAAGAATATGCAGCCCTAAAAGAAGAATATGAAAAAGCTGTCGAATCATTGGAAAATGACCGAAATTTGGATGCAGGAGAAGCAAAGAAGCGCCTGCAAATTCTTGAACAGCAGTTTGTAGGAGGTGAGGAAGTAAGTGTTATTATGTGTGATTCTTTAACTTGGTTCTTCTTTTAGTCTTTTCAGTCAGACCTAATTCGATGAATACTTGAGTAACATATTGAGTTTTGTAGGTGAACAACAAAGTCTTGAAAGAACAGCGACAAATTAGAATGAAAGAAGCTGAGAAAAAAATGCAACGACTTGCCAGTGACTTTTTTTTTTAATTTTAAAAGTCTTTGCTTTTTTGTTTCTACTACCTAACACCTAACAATGCATTAAGATTCAGTCGTTCTTTATTTGGATCAGCATTTATGATTAATACACTAGTTGTCCGCGAAGCTCCTTTTTCAGCCGCCTTAAATGTCCACAGTGATGATCCACTGTTGCATGTTTATAGTTCAGCACAAGAAAAACTAGAGGCAGTTACAAAAGAATATTATAAAGCCAAAATGAAGGTAGTTTATTACTCAGTGAAAAGGCAATTAAGATATGATATTAATTCTAGAAGAATCCTTTATTTACCAACTTTCTACATCATTGAGGAATTTTTCTACATCCAACAGTTATATCATTTAAAATGCATGTCGCATTTTGTAATTTTAAATAGCTAAGGCAAATTATGACAAAATTTGCAGATTAAATCACTAGAGAGTGAAATCGAAGATTTGCATGGTGAATTTGAACTTGACCGACTTGATTATCTAGAAACAATCAGAAAACAAGATCAACAAATTAAACTGTTACAACAAATAATCGACAAAGTATACTTTCAGTAAATTTAAGATGTAATCCGTAGTTTTTTTTTTTTGAATTTACTAACTTTAAGATCTATATCACTTAAAAAATTTGTACTGTTCGAATAATGGACTTACTAATGATAAATTAATAATCTTAACCAAACAATTAGCTTCGTCCACTCCTTACTTTATTTTCTCCAAGAAAAAATTATGAGTGAAAATTGTTGGTGACGAGCAGCATCTTAGATATATCCAACACTCAAAAAAAATTGTAATTACCTCAATCTGGAAAAGATCAAACGAGAAGCAAAATGGAATGATGATCAAGGAAAGTGGATAATACCGGATTTGATTATGTTTCGAACAACTTTACCCCACGCTGTACCAGGTCACTTCTATTTATCTACAATGATCACTATTCAAAATTTTCTGCAGTTTTCTTTAAATAATAGAAATTCCATTAATGTTTACAAATACCTGTTTTATTTGGATTATTTACTAATAATCGTTTAGGAACTCCAATTACTATGAGTGATTATGTTGACACATCTAATCAGCCACAATTGGATGCGATAGATGACTTAGCAAAACTTAAACAGGTAACTCAAAAGAAAGAATTTTTGAGAACTGAGCATAAATTTTTAATGCTGTTAGGGGAACGCATTGTTTCACGAAAACTGTAAAGTAGTAGTCTTTTTTCTTAAACAGTTGGTCATGAATCGAGCAATTAATTTTTATGAGTTTAAGAAATAAATGTTATTTAGACCTCTATTTTTATAAGCCGCATATATTCTAAGCAGTTTACTATATTAGTCTTTGAATTTTCTCTCACTGTTCATTCAAGACTTTTGAAATACATTTAATTGCAAAACATAGCAGAGAAATTATTCTAGAGATTGGCAAAAAGCGCTGAAGAAAATATTGCAAATAATTATTTCAAACAGTTCAGTCGAGACAGCTTTGTAAACAAATATAAGGCTGACCAAAATCGTACTATTGGTCATGATTCAGGTGATACTTTTCATATTTTCATTTATTGCTTTATAATTAGATATGAATTTCATTTCTCCAAATAGTTTTATTTCCTCAACTAATTCACCTTTCTTTCTTCAAATAAATTAAGTGTAAAAAGGAAGTGAACCCATATCGAACAATTAAATAAAAATATTCTGAAGAAAAGTGATAATTTCTCAAGTTTCGGCGTTTAGTAATTTAACATTACTTGATTAGTGCGATTTTTATATTACAGATTCACAGCTAAAAAATTACTCTTTGCCTCGAAAGCAAACATTCAATGATTTGTTACGAGGCGTTGTATATACAGATGATATTTACGAGAAACCTTCCTTATTTCGGAAGCCACAGCAACTCAAGGCACTTATCGTAAGATCCAAATAAATGCTGTACAATCCGTTGTTGGCATGAGTCATTACTACGTGTCCATATCATTTCATTCTCGAGTTTTGTCATAGTCCAAATTTCCCAGTTACAAGTAATCTGCTCCCGAATAGCAATAAGATTCTTTTGATATCCTTGTCTAAAACCACTATTCTACTGGAATGACTTCAACTTCAAAATTCACTATATGCACGACTTACGCACAAATCTGCAATACGACCCTCGACTTTTTTATTTGAATATCCTTTTATCTTCTGATCGTATGAGCTACATCCCAAGTTGATTAATAATAATTCCTGTACAATTAATACATGAATTTCAATTTCTTTCGCGGTTATAGCATTTTTATGCACTGTCAACTATGATTGCTCAATGTTTCTATAGTCTTATTATCAAATGTGCAGTGAAACCAACAGCAAAAGTTATGACCAATCACATTTCAATGGTGCTTAAAGAACATCGCATATTTTCTGATACAAATATAATTGGAGTCAAATTTTTTCTCTGCTAGCAAAAAAAATCAATGGGAAGGTAGTTCTCTAAAATTAATATAGGTACAGTTTTTTATCGAATATATTATACCAATTATGACACCAGTGACGTATATCAACTGTGCAAATTACGCATAACTCAAGTAAATCAATGAAGGAGTAATGAGGGTTGCTATTATTTAAAAATATTCTGACAGATGTGATGATAACTTATTGTCTCTAACACTCTCGTGAAATTGTCTCCCTTATACTCTCGTTCAGTTTTTTCTCATAAATTTTACGAACATATTCCAATCCTCTTTGAAGCTCGATCGGTAAGGTCATAGATAAAGCATGAAAATCAAACAGGTCTAGGTCTTGATAAGTCTGTGCGATTCTAGTAACACATTAAAACGAATTCCACCTTTCAAAAATTGAGATGAACAAACTTATGTGCTCCAGAAAGGAATGGAATACCCACCACAAGACACATGGTAGTGCTATTTGTGACGTAATTTTATAGTACAACAACCTTATAAAAGGAATTACTATTAGTGCAAATCTCAAACGTAAGTCTCCAACAAGGACCTATAAAACTTGATCATCCAAACTTTCCTGTCGAACAATAGCCAGTGACGTCTAGTGATGCCAACCTGTCCTTACTAGAGACTTATCATAATTACTTCATGCTGCTTCTGACGTGGACCATGATATCCGGTCGATCCGCACTTATATTTTCAACTTTTCTAATACGCGTATCGACTCTGATCTCCACGTTCTCATTCACGACGATTTCCTGAACAGAACGGTTTCGCATGCGTGGGAATGCCTTCAAACCATACTTCTTGCAGAGTCCCAAATGGATGCATCGCAGAACTTCATTGTGTCTTCTAGTATAGTGGTGATATAACATTTTTCCGTACTGCGTTGCTAGGTGGCCCACCTTCTTCACACGTTCCTTATAATGTCGGCACATACTTTTTTCAGCTCTAAGTATAATATCTCCACACACATTTCTATCTTGGAAGTAACAGTATCGCGCTTCATCTTGCGAGGTAATGTTTTCGTATCGTGGCCATACTGATGAATCAGTTATGGACGAGATTTTATTCGCTGCATCTTGTATGGCTTTGCATGATGAATTTTCTTTTCTATTTCGCTACATAAAAGAACCTTTTAGGCTGTTAATACGTCCTCGACAGTTGGATTTTCTACGAAGTTGAATTTAGTCTGAAGGTAGAGTACAATAACTACTAAGTACGTGTTGTGAACCTTCATCTGCTTCAAAATCGTCACCCTCCTGGTAGATATGGGCGCACTTTCTACAAGTACGTTATGAAGTTGCAGAAGCACAAGCTCACTCATTTGTTCAACCCAGTAAGGCCCACGTCCCAGCTCATCCCTTTGCAAGTACAATCTCTCCGAACACGCAAGTTGACTGTAAATTCCGTACTTACCTAGTAGTTCCCTGGTACTAGCAGCGGAAGCCAAAGCTTAAGTCTCACTAAAATCTCTGCTCGCATTTTACGGTAGATTTCTGGGGTCGATGCACTAGTGCTGTCTTTAATCAGTTCAAGGCATTATTCATACCCTATGGCAGCTTTTAAAGCATCGCCTTATCGTCGTATATCTCATTATCAGTGGCTGATTTTGCTGAATACACCTCTAACTCTACTACTTCAAAAAATTTCTGGACTTCTTCAACCACAGCTTTCATGATATCCTCGTCGGTGGCAAGGAGTTTGAGATCACCTACAAATAATAAACGGTTTGTTATATACATTCATTGATCGGTGAAAACCGCTAGACTGGATATCTGACATTGAGCCTACAGCTCAACAGGTCCATGCATAAAACGAATAGCAGCGGAGAAAAGCTGTCACCTTGGAGGATCCCCTGCTGTACTTTCTTCTCCATTATGGTTTCTCCATTGCTTTTCAATGTAACCGACCATCTGGAGGTGATGCTTCTCAGAAACCTGGCGATTCACGTTGGCATGTTGAGCATTTCAATACACTCAATCACATAGCTGTGGCTTACTAAATAAAACGCTTTTATAACGCTATACCATGTAATATATAACTAGTTTCTATGCTCTCTGTACACCGCCAGATTCAAGAGTGCCTGCTTTTTCGCACCTTAAACCTGGCCAATAGTTCTTAATTAGTTGTCTGCAAGTAGTCTTCTCGTGGCAATATCTCATTGCAAGACTCGCGTCACACATTTCGTTGTCAACTTGTAGAGATTCGACATACTGGTTATTAGCCTGAAATCGTTACCCCTGCTCAAGATACATTTTGAAATCAGACACGTCCTGTCTCTCACTATCCAAGCAAATCCGCCTTTTTATTTTGTACAAATCTGGATGTAAGATGGTGCACTTCTTACATCTAATTGAGACTGATTAGAACATTAGTAAAATAGTTGTAAATTCCATCAAAATTCGCCCTTTCAAGTCTAGCAAGTAGGTAACTATCCAGGATCTGGCCTCTACAGAACATTAAGTGCGTCTCAGTAGATAATTATTCCCTTCATTTCCTCACATTTTACATTATGAAGAATGTTTGTGCATCAAAAGTGTGGATCTTGAATTGTTCCTAATACATCTGACTGAAACTGATTAGAAAATTAATAAAATAGTACTGAGGTGATAAACAACCCATTACTGTAGCGTGGAATAGGTAAGATTAATCTGAATGAAGTCGAACTAAACTAGTCGGAAACTTAAGCTTCTTCAAGTTATTACGACTATGCCAGTAAACACACATATTTTTATATTTTATAGTTCTAAAAAACAAAACTAAATAAAAAGCAACACGGAATCACTTTTTTAGAATGTTCGCACCGACCTTCACCACGTGCAATCGATCCATCTTGACCTTGTTGGATCAAAGTTTGGGGCCACATTGCACAACTGCTTGGCCCAGGTCCATCTAACAATAGGCTTATTTCCCTTCCTTAGAAATTGCAGAAAGTAGTCAATACAATGAAGATATGCTGCCTCCCGCACTGTGCTGATATGACATACGACCTGCCATCTCTTTGTCCTCATTTTTTGCTCAATGGCATCTCAATCTGTGTATGGGCTGTGCCCAGTCTTATCATCGGGTAACACCCCTTCTTCACTTGCATCTGTTGTATGCTGCCACCCTTTCACAATTTTGCTCTATTTGCTACTATTTGTTGCCCGCTTCATTTGCCTGCCATCAAGAGCAGAAATGCGAAAAACAAGAACCAGAGCCGGCAGACAGGCATGCTGCGTATGTAAGGTAGACGAAAAGACTGATTGATAGATAGGCTGACCGAACAAGTGATCGATAGATAGTCGTTTCCATTTCTGCTTGTTTGCAGACATGAGCAGCAAGCAAGGATCATCAAAAATGCAATGCTTGTAGCACGGGAATTGTAAGTATTTAGTGATGCAGGCATTCTTGTACACATGGAACGAGTTTTAGGTGAGTAATCTATTGTTTGCTCGGCTTGACCAACTTTTTTTGTTCTTGGTTTCCTTATATGAAATCAGGCATTTCTCTGGTGTCGATATTCACTTACCACGCAGACTTCATGTTCTTGTGTTACGCTTACTTAAATTTCATAGCAACGGCATTTTTTATGCAGTAAAATTAGCTGTCAAGAAAGTGTTCTTTGAATGAGGTCAGTTACAGAGTCAACTTCTTATCAGGTGTTTTACTAAGTGTAGATGATCACATGATGATTATGGCTGGTTACCTGTGTCGTCTCTTCAACTACAATATTTTTGTCAGCCTCTGTTCTACTTCGATACTTGCAAATTGCATAGTTTCTGCTCATTTTTCCCTCTGTTTCTTAGCTAATAAGATATATCTTTCTGAACTGTATATTTTCTTCTAAGATCTACGACTGCATTTCCAATCTTTACAGATTTGGGAGACATTACATCACCAGTAACTGAACTGAATATTCCTGGTCTTTTGTCATCTCAACCACTTAAAAAAAATGTGGCATCTATTATATATGAAATAATGTCATGTTGTGTGATGACTAAACTATACTTTTCAATTAGGTTTACTTTATAACTTTAAAGTATAACTTTTATATTTTATAACTTTATACCTAGTAGTTTTGTAAAAGCGTTATTTCTTGTGTTTAGCGCAGTTTTGTAGAAACGCCACTGCTCACTAACATTCGGATTGATTGTTCTTGCCGCTTATTTTCTATTATAGATGGTATGCATAATTTATTTTCACGACTCTGGAATATTTTTATTTATTCAATTTGTGTAATGTCGAATGCTCTCGTTTTTTTTTAAAGATGATTACCAACTGTATTTTTGTCTACAATTATTAATTTCTGTTTGTTTTGTGGGTTTCTAGCGTTTCATTATAGTTGTGATGGATACCGTACTTTATATACCGAATCTCGTCATTTATATGGTATTTATGGCTCCTAAAACTCATTTTAAACCCATATTACATATGAAATCTGTATCAGTCATTGAATGAGTAATATGAAACATATCAATTACAACTAATTAGAATTCTGTCCGCAGACTATTTACGCAATCATGATTTAGCAAATTTATCTCGAGCATTAATTAAAAGTTTTCCACATTAGTTAAATGTGCACTGTTTAGGATTGTTTCCAGTTATATACTTCTTAAGTTGATCTTAGATAAACTGCTAGTCAATTCAACTTCCTTTTTGCATACGAAGTTTAAGATGTCTTTAATTGGTTTCATGCATTATTAGCTAACTTTTTATTGCCGAAAAATCTGTCTTTACATTATATTATGGCGTATACTGATTGCAGACATAGCTAATATGGTGTTTTTTCCTTAATTTTCGTTTCCGGATAGAATTAAGGGTGAAGTAGCAGCAAAGTAACGTTATATAAACTGTAATTGCCTTAACAGTTTTCGACTATCAAAATTTAGCTGATGTCCTAGCTATACTTAAATAGTTCAGAATTTAAGTATTGCTGGTTTTAGAGTTCATCAAGTTGTTCTCCACATTTACCACTCTTTACTACTACCCAGAACATGTAAGTTTAAAGGGAAGCTCAGCTATTATTTAAGAAACAACATTGTAATCTGTAGCTGATTCTGGGCAGTGAGATTTGTATTGTGTTGTGGATAAGTACGTTAAACACTTCTGGAGAACGGTATCTCCATACAGCTACTGTGATTAACAGATTTTGATTATAAGTACTTTCTTTGAGCACATCATTTCTAATTACTGCTGCCTCTGACTGATACTTTCGTTACTTTGTCTCATGTATGAATTCTTTGTACTTCTGTAGATTGTAGTTGAGAACTTTACAGTGCAAGAAGATGACTATGCAGTAGATAATCGACTTCTGCTGGCATTCATTTTTTTTCTATCCTTACAAAAAGATTTTATGACTGAAGGTGATATGATTAGTATAATCTACTGATGATAGCTGCTTGTAGTGCATAATTCTCAACTACAACCTACAAAAGAAGTATACAGAAATGGGTAAAGAATAGATTTCGCAGTCACAGTCAGTATTTGTGTTTCTGTTTGTTATGCAGCAGTTACAAATAAGTCTTAGCTCATAAGACTACTTTATTTGCCTTTACTTTTATTGGGAGGAATTAGTGTACTTGCAAGCGACTTCTCTTTTACTCCATATTGGTGGGCATTCTTCTCGTTCGTTCATCCTGTCTGCTCTCTCCTCGACCCATCACTTTTGACTGCTCTGCACTTGCACTGTGAGTATACACCACAACGTTTGTTGTGCGTTCCTATGTGCCTTCTTTTTTCTCTTGAAATTGTAATCTAAAAAGCGGGTTCTTCCTTTCATCAGTTTCCATGTCTAGATTAATTAGCAGGATTTTTCAGTGTGTGGTGCTACCTAAAAATTGTATAAGTATCAAAAATGCCCAACTGTCCAGGCTGCAATAAACCGGTATACTTCGGTGAGCCTTTCAGTCTTACATTTTTTCTGACCATTGAACTTGCTTTGAGAAATAGAAGGAAAAGAGAGGTCAGTGCCGTATAGTTAAGGTAGATTAAATTAATGAGAAAACGAATATTACTAGGCAAAGCATGATGTGATTATTAGTTTTGCCTACAAATTGATACCTGCTTCTTAGGATAGATGGATTTTAACACTGCATATCTTACATGGTCATTCGTCTTTATATTTCTCACCAGAGATTACTAATCACTCGATTTGATTTTTCGTTAGGTTTTTTTGGTAATTTCGCATTCTCCAGTTATTGGTGAACTGATTGCATCAGGTAAGAGAATTGACTTAAGCATGGGTCCAAAACTGATGGATGAGGCGCTAGTTCTGTACGAAACAACAGAAAATGATAAAATCATAATCTGAGGGATGTGATTTTGTTTAGAGAGAACGTCTTGAAATAGAAAGTCGTTTCAGCTGAACGTATTTCATCAATCGGTAAGGATTGGCATCGTCCATGCTTGCGGTGTCAGAATGAAAACTGTCGTAAAACATTGACTGCAGGCAATCACTCCGAGGTATGTTGGCTAGTATGGAAACTATAGCTGTAATTAAATGGCAACAGAAAACATGGTTGCAAAACAGAGAAATTGTGATAAAATTAGTGGAACGACGAAAACTGAGATTCGTTTAGCTTTGAAAAGAAGCAAAGCTTAAAAAACTTGGTTATTAGAGACGTTTTTAGGTTTCTCAAACATATTCAGAAATTTTTAGTTGAAATTAGTTGTACATCGTGTGTTTGACTTACTTTTCAGCGTCAAGGAAAGCCATATTGCAACCATTGTTATGGAGCATTATTTGGACCGAAGGGATATGGACACGGTGGTTCAGAGTCACACACATTTCATAATGGCCTTACTGGAAAAGCGAAGTGACTTCTTACTCCCATTTGTATTGAAAATATATTCAGTCTAATTTATGTTTGAAACTTTTTTTATAACCAGTACATCATTATAAATGATTGCCATGTCCTACAATCGTTATCAATTTTGCACAATCTACCTACATTAATTTCGATTCCTATGTTCTTTTTTACCAGTTGTAATTTGGAATTGTTGAGCTAATCTTCTGATAACATGTGTGAGTGCTTCTTCTGCTTCTGAAATTTTATTATTACATATTCCAGCTCTCATAATATCGCGCGTCTAAGTTCTAAAGTTCTATACATATACGTTCCTTCGGCATTTGTTAAAATCATCTAAGGCATCAACACTGGTTTCATGGTTTGTATGTATTTATTGTCATTTTTGTTGTTTTGGATTAAAGTCAGTGAATTGTGGAATTAAGGAACAAAAAGGAGAGTTCAGCTCCACATTAGGTTGAGAAGCACCATTTCAGCACTTGTTAAAAATAGATCAGTTCTGGAATTGGGTTTCATAGCTATTTATGTCATTTAGAATTCCTTCATTTGTTCATTTTGGAGTTATAAGAACCACTAAGAGCACATTCAGTTGTGGACGTAACCACTAGAACATTTCAAGTCTTTTATTATTTCTTATCCCAGGTGAAAACCTGGAATCTGAGTAACATTGAAAGTTTGAGAAGAATCTGCTGATGGTACATTTGTTTACATATAGAACAAGCTCTTCAGAAAGTACGAAGGAACGACAGTACGTGCAGTCGTCATTCTAGTGCACAATGATCATCCCTATTAGCTACAAGTAGTTACTTTATGGAACCGTCAGTTTTATTCCTCCCTATCCTGCTAAATTCGTCTTATTTACACAGAACTGAATGCGAGAAGGTACACTTGGATGACACATCCTCGCGAAACGGTCGAGGACAGCTTTTGCCACCTCTCCTGACCTCCTGCTTTATGAAACCTCGGTTCACTAATGAGTGCTTCGAGCGTAGTCATCTTAGTTCCTGGTTCCGCTATGTTGGGGGAGTGCTCTCTCACATCCTTCAAGGAGCTTTTCATAACATCATTTGTTTCTCCACTGTTCTCCCTGAGATTTCTAGCTCTCTTTTGCAATAGTCTTTCCCTCCTCTCTGTTCTTATCTCTTACTAACTCTCCTCTTGTTTTGTTTTCGCGTCATCAGAAGAACTGCGACAAGGGATTCCATGAGCATTATCGCCATGGTCTATTACATCCTTTCAACTTTTTAGAAGTCCCCCGTGATGTGCGAGGCTCTTCAGAAACGCGTTTCTAGTTATTAGATAACTGGTCGAGTTGTTTGCTGAGATGTTCTGTCGTATTTTTAATGTTTCCACTGTTCTGGAGTTTTCAATTGTGGATATTATCGCTTTTGCTGTTGCGACTAATGACACTGGCATTTTCTTCATTTATTTCCATATTAGCGTCTTCACATTGCCATAACAGATAAAGATAGGACAGAAAGAAATATAAACTAGAAATAAGGAGATGCTTATATATATATAGGAAAAAGTGTATATATATAATATATACCAGAGAATTTTTAAGCAGTTGACCATGTTATCAGATAGTTACTACATAGATGCGGAATTCAGAGACAACTCATATATCAAAATGTAGAGGTTAGTTTTAATGCTTCTGGCGCTGGATCGCATTCCGGCACTCTGGCAGACTGGTCCCGCGCTCAGATTTGTTGTACTCATCGTTCTCGCTTTCTCCTCATGGAAACCAC